AGACTCAGGGCCAACCCAAGAACTCGATGTCTGTGCCAGGAACGGCCAGAGCTCTCTGGGAGCATTGCCCTATAAACAGGACTTACTGAATTTTTTCCCCTTTTTATTTCACCAAACTGCAGGTTGACATGACCCTAATAAATATAACATAAAGCAAACAACAATATTTTATTTGTTAAATTGTGTTATACTTATTTTGAAAAGTTTTCATTTGGTTACTATTTTCATGAAATTTATTAATACTTTTCTATGATGATGAAGAAGGAAATAATTTCATTTTTATTCATATTTTTCCCCTACACATGTATTACCTGGGACCATATTTTTTGTATAATAATGAGATATTAAAATAAAAATCAAGACCTTGAAAAATGTCTATTGTGTTAACTTTGAAATTTGCAAGACACAACAATAAATATTAAAAAAAGGCCTTGCATTTTTTAAAATGAAACTTTATCTCCCAAAGGGTTAAAAAAATATACCCTAGGTTTATTAAGCAGACTTCACTTATTTATAACAAAATTTGTTAGTGAATTATCAATAATCAGAATTTAGGGCACATAGACAATTGCATATCCACAATTTTGAAATTTAGAGTGATCTGAAAACTAAAAGACTTTTTGTTTGCTTTTGTGGCAAACTCGTTTGGCAAGAAAATCTAAGCTGAATCGAAGCAAGGCTGTTATCTTCATTTATTTCACTGAGTGTGAGCAGCCATACATTTTACTGCAGAAATATTAATGTATTTGCTTTAGGGGGATTGTCTCAGCACCCACTGGAAGTGTTATAAAAAATAACTCATGTACTTTATTGTCTTTGAAATTTATGTGGAAAGTTTGAATTCAGTAACACATGTAATCCCCACTATTTCAAATGGAGGACTGAGGATCGGTATCATAGAATCATAAAGAAATGCTCAAGTTGGAAGGTACCCAAGAGATAATATATTCCAACCCCTCATTTTATGAATGAGGACTCTGAGTCCAGAGAAGTGCAGTGACCTGCCAAAGGTCTTACTACTCGGTTAGTAGCAGAGATAGAAATAGACTCCACTCCCAAGGTGCTCAAGTCCTGGGCTCCTTCTACTCACAGCCCTTTAATGAGCTCTTCCCCAGTGGCTGGGGTTTCTAAACAAACGGAATATACACAAGTGTGTCCTTTCCTCAAGACTTGCTGTTCCAGTGTGGAGGGCAATGCAAAACTGTGTACATACGTACTTTTGGAAGAAACAATGTCCCTCTTCCCTTTCCAAAGTGATCCCTATGAAATTGTGCAGATTCTACTAATCAGGCAAGGACAGCCACCATCACAGTCATCTCCAGTTTTGTCAGGCTCCATTCCAAACACTAAAAAGGCAAATTCCTTGACCTTCCACTCCAGTTTAACTGCATTGTTTGGTCAGTGTCTATTAAAAACATTCCAGAAAGCATATTAACTTTCAATCACCAGGAATTTACCGGGCTTCTCTTATGTGTCAGGATTACAAAATGACTAAACCAGTGATTTTCAACCCGGGGTGACTGTCCACCGGGGAATATTTGGCAGTGATTGTAAGCATATGCACTTGTCACAACTTGAAGCATGCTCCTTGCATTTAGTAGAGAGGCCAGGACTCCAGTAAACACCCTACAATGCCCAGACAACCCTTGGCTCCAAAGGTCAATGGTGCTAAGACTGAGAAGCTCCAGGACCAAATATATATGAGTGTTCTCTCCTTCAGAGATTATACACTCTCATTGCAAAATAGCAGCCTAACTAACATTTGTAATGTTATGAAGACAATGAAATCCTAAACTCAGTGGTCTAGAATTTTAGAGTCAGAAGGCCAGAGTTCAAGCCCCACCCCGACACTTATTTCCCCTGTGACCTTTGGAAAATCATTTAAGCATTTGGGGCTCAGTTTTCTTATCTCTAAAACAAGGCTATTTATAACTAACCTACATATTTTATTAGGCTTCTGTGAGTATCGAAAGAGAAAGTGTTTAGGAAAATACTCAGAGAACTGTAAAGCATTATATAAATATAAAGCAACAATACTGCTATTATTTACCGAATATTTTTATCAGACTAGCACTGAATTTGTTATACAAGTGTCTACCCTGATCTCAGTGAACAACACCATCATTTGCTCCAAGTCAGGAACCCTGCATCCTCCTTTATCCTTTCCTTTCTCACTCCCCAATCAATCGCTGAGTCCCAGGGAATGTACATTTTTTTCCTTTATAAGGGTGGTAAATTCATGAATAGAAATACAAAGTAATATTGCACCCAGGCACTCACTGATGAATCTAATGTTGAGTCACAGAATAATGTCATGACACTTCAATCATGCCATGCTGTCCTCTTCCTCTTCTTGCATCTTGACCTCCTACCCCTTGAAATTTCTTCAGTCTTTCTTTGGGGGACAATATCTTCCTGCAGACTCAGTAACAATTGTTTCCTGACACCTCCTTTACTTTTTTAATGTAAATAGACTCAAGGCCAGGTGGATAGTCATTTTCAGAGTGGAAATCAAGATGTAAGCAAAGACGTGTGGGGTCTTTATTTGAGGTCTAGTGGAGAGACTAAGATATTTGGAATCTTTGAGGACCTCTGTGGCATCTTTCTGGAAAGCATGAGCTAGTTGGCCAAACTGGAAATGCCTGCCATCTATGGAGAAGTTATCACAATTTATTACTTTGTGTGGAGTACTTTGCGTTATGTACACTCAGTATATGGATTCCAATTTATGTAAAAATATTTACTAGAGTTTAATTATTCAGTCTCTGAAAGATGTTTTCTCTGTTAAATTATTCTTAATAGTGTAATACTGATGCTGGGGTTCTTGTTCATGAAGCCGAAGAATGAGCTTCACAAACACTGAAGGTTGGAGAGCAAGGTACAGGCTTTTATTTAGAGATAAAGTGAGAGGACAGAGCTCCCTGGCTCATGCCAGGAGGGGACAAGAGAGTCTGTGGTTGGCTCATTGTCTAGGGGTTTTATGCGTGGTTGAGGATTTTCAGGAATGAGGGTAAAGGGTTAGGGGGACAGACTTGTTGAGTGGTCCCAGAATGCTCATTTTTGATGAGTAATAGAAGAAATTTTCTGCTCTGATTCTTTCTCAAGATAGCAGTTTCCCTCTGGGAGCATGTCAATTAAGACTGCCTACCCTGCCCCCAAGGTGGGCTGGGTTGTTGTCTGAAGTAAGTTAAGAATCTCACTTCTTAACTTCTTGGGCTGTTTATAGTTGGTCTTGCTTACTAAATTAGTCTTTTTCCTAGGTTGCAGATTACTTGGTTAGGATCAGAGAAGGAAATATAGCACACAGGTACGGTTAAAATAAGCTGGGCCTTTTAGGAGGCTAAGGTAAATTTTACAGTGAAATCACAGGTTATGCTGAGATACTTTTCTTTATCTGCAGAACAATCAAACATTCAAGGCCAAGTTGCTGCTGGCCTTTTGAGCTTTAACTAATCTCACTGATGATATCTATATTCCTAGTCTGGTATCTTTTCCCTAGAGAATTAGTGTGACTCTGACTTTGCATAATGCTTATCACAGAGTTTCAATAGGGACTTCTTTGCACATTGCTACATTGTTCTGATGGTAATTATCTTGCTCTGCTTTCTCTCCAGAGGCCCTCACCCTACTCTGCCTAATCCCACCGTCCCTGTCTCAATACTCTTTCAGTGCAACTAAAACATATTTTAATTTACAAGCAAATGTTTACTTAAAAGCACATCTACTCTGACATGTCAAGTGGTGTATATGGGGGGGAAAAGAAAGGACAAATGGGCAATCCTTGCAGTGATGAAAGAATTGTACAGGTACAATTAAAAAAGAGAGGGAAAATGCTTTCTTTTAAAAACTGATTGGAATAGGTCAGTTCATAGATGCAAATTCATTTTTTAAATCCATAGTCTCCTCATTACTTATAGCCTACAAATTTCAGACCATGGTTTAGTGTGGGTATAAATAAATGCGTGAAATTATTTATTTTTATTTTCTCTTCCTGAATGTTTTGAGCTCTATGGTAGTATAAAACCTTAGCATGCAGAAGTTCTTAAATGAAATATCCTTCACAAATTCCCAATGTCATTCAATAAATACAAACAGTTATAATACAATTAAATTTTATTCCTGACTGTGTATTAACAAAAAACTTCAGCTTTTCACCCCTACTGTGATACTCAGAGACTTGTATTTTTCCCATGACACATACATTTCCCCTACTACACAGGATCACGTACATTCTGATTTGACCCTCTCATAAAGCAAGAGAGAGCCATCTTACCTGGCTGTAGCAGTTGGCTCAGCCATCATGCCCACTATCATTCAAAGCCAGACTAGAAACTTCCTTCTAACCATAAACATTAAGTTGCCTTTCTCTCCCAGGCCCTGCCTCTCTGGCTCTAGCTTTCTGCATGTGTGAACACCAAACAGTTTCCTGGTTGTGTGGATGACTGAGGAACAGGGAGATGGAAACCAGCAAGGCAGATCTCATTTTACCAATTATAAGGAAATCTGGGTTTCCTTGTAGACTCTAAACTCTAAATGATATAAATGAGATTATTTTTTATTCTGAAACCATTTCCTATGGGCCTCATATTTCACTTTCTAGTTTCCCTTCTGATGTTCATGCATATGGATTTGCACTGATACCATTGGTGTCCAAAAGATGTTCGCTGAGTTTATATGGAGGTTTGCTCTGTAAAATCACATACCAATATGAAACTTGCCCCTTTAACAGTTAAAATAGACTTTCCAGGAAAAACCTCTTTCCAGAAAAAGCCCATCCTCTATTATTTCTTTCATTGAGCTCCATCTAATGGCAATTCCATGCTTTTCAACAGGGAGGAAATTCATGTTCTCCAGGTAAAGAGTAAACTCCCCGAAAGGTGTCAAGGGAGCTGAGTTTGGACTTTTCTCAGGAACAGTAGGAATCCTTGGAGTTTATCAATTGCTGCATCAGACTTTTCCTGATTGGACTGATTTCACTTCCAGGCACAGAGAAAGTCAACAAAAGAGAAAGCATGTGCTCTTACTGAATCATATCACGAAGCAACATACTACCAGTGCACAGCTCCAGGCGACCTTGGGCAGGGGCTAGAGCCATCCAGCTTTTCTAAATGCCAAGTCAGGTAAGAAAATTGCAGACTTGAGACTGAAGACCACAGGAGGCCTCTCTGCAGCCCTTTACTGCATTACACTGTAACACTGAGGCACAGTAGAAACTGCACGCTGTGGGGGGGCATGCATTTCAAGATGGAAATAGCATTAACAAAACTTCGATGCCTCATCAGCACTGTGCTGCTCATAGGAGTGGAGAGCCCCACAGGCACTGCCCCGAGGGCATCTTGCAGCCCCAGCTGGACGCAGGCTCTGCTGAGTCACTGGCCTTGGCAAGGTGAGTTGGCTGGGACCTAGTGGGCAGGTGACAGAGGGGGAAAAATATTGCTCTGTACTAAGCAGCAAGTCCCTTTCCTAAGACTCACTTTTTATTTTAGTCCAATCCCTTCTTTTCTATGTTTCTTATATTTGAGCTATTCAGATAGTCTTGTAAGTATATTTATTTAGAAATATATTGAGTAATTACAAATATATCAGTATCTAAGGAAAAGGAGGCTCTTTTCTCTCCTACTTTCCTTTTTCTCCAAACACACACACACACACACACACACACACACACACACCCCTTTCTGGGGGAATATTTGTGGCTATGGCTTGGAAAACTTAAAAAATCCAAAATCAGAAAGAGATTATAAAGAACAAATGGGGAGGACTCCATCCTAGCCACCCCAGTCCCCTGTGGGTGAGTAAAGGCATCAGATGTGGGCAGAGCCACCCTTGCCTCCTCAGCATGGCCTCAGGCTGCCGTTCGAGGTGGGCCTCTCCAGGAAACTGCCAGCTCCCACCTTGTGTCTTTACACCAACTCGCTTAATTGGAAAGATTTTCTATCCCATGAGTGAGCCACTAAATATTTCCGTTGAAAGGCTGTGAAAGGTGGGAACGATATGTCCGGAAGCAGCTGTTTGAGTTCCAGAACACCCATCAGGTCAGCTGGAGGTCCCTTTATTATCTCTTTGTTACTGAGATGAGGTTGCTCCCTATAGAAGATCCTGGCTCTGCAAAGACAATGCCATTAAAGTGTCCTGCTATATTTACCCGTGACCAGTGGGAGTGACTTTGCTTTTACAGTCAAAGGTGAAAGATGATTTCAAAAGATGATCTAAGCACTGAGGTGACTTCAAAAGAGAGGCAGGAAATGCAATAATACATCTCCATTTCAATCCATTTAGCATCATCCCCTCTCCCCAAACTAAATACTCCTCTGCCGTTGTTTTGGCCTTTGGCCATAATTTGTTTGCTAATAAGGAAATTCTTGTCCTGGACTGCCTTCTCTTCAAGGGCAGAAAGTGGCAGTGTCTGCAAGGAGTTTTGGATCTAGGGAATAGAAAATGCCTTCTGTGACCTCCTCCAGGGATCATGTTGCCCCCCACCTGGCAGGGCCGGATTGTTGCCCAGGAGGAGTTTCATAGCACTGTGGAAATTGATCCTTCACTTGTGACTTCAGATCTTTACCCTTTCAGAAAAAACAGACTCCAAATGGATTCATTAGCGTGTAGGCTGCCCTGCAACAAACACCCACCCCGTATCTTAACCCTAATGGTAATAATATGGGCCCATAATCCTCTTCCTTCTCTAAAACAGGGGAAGGTGTATTTCCTCAATTCTTCTCATTCATCCACCCACTCATATTTCAGATTGGTCTAGAAATAAAAGGCTCAGGAGAGGAGACACGAACATTGAGGTCCTGCTGTTCTTCTGGCAGATAACCACCACACTTCTCCAGTGCTTGGCCTGGCCGTGCTGTGGTATTAGAATCTCATTCGCTTGCAAGCAACAGAGAATTGTCCCCAAAATGGCTTAAATTCATAAGGGTGATCTCCCAGAAACTGTTGGTTTATTTTTTACTGGATGCAATGGTAGCACTTTGCCACCCCTAATTCTGAGAGAGTCTAGGAAGCTGAGATTTTTAGCTGGGCACATTGTTACCTTGAACAAAATTAATAAGGAAGTGTGGGGGAAAGTGGAGGAGGGTGGATGTTGGATTTTGGACAGGAAAACACATAATGATTGCTACATTCCCAGCATCTAATACTGCCCAGCACACAGTAAGTTATACATAGTTGTTGTTGAGCGAGGGGCCTTAAAATGTCAAGACAAGGTATGATCAAATCCTAGAATAATAAGTCCTTTTCAGGTGTCATTAATATACGTGACTGAGCAAGCACCCTTGAGAAAGTTTCATGGTTACTGAGATAAGCATATAAGGCAAAGATTGATTTGATTCTTGTTGATTCTTGCCCTTCTTGATAAAATATAGAAAGAGAAGGAAAGAGAACTCAGAAAGCCCTTGATATGCTCTAGCCATCCTTATAATAATTGTTGTTCTTAGAGCTGCAAGAGTCTTGACATTAGCTCTTCCCTCAGGAATTTTTATCAATTCCCTGATAAGCATCATATAATAGATCTGAGACTGTTTCTGTAACTTTATAGAAAATCATCCCCAAAATGGAATGTCATGTATAAACATTGTCTTGGGCTGGTCTTTATTTCTGACACCTTGATCATGGATGAGTTTTCATGAAACAGAGGTGTCTAATGGTGTCTTTGACTTCAGTAGGACCTTGCCAATTCAATTCCACAAGGATTAATGAAGCATCAGCTGTTCCAGGGATTGTGCTGGGCCCTGAGAATACAGAGAAGAGTCATGTTCTGTTCCTCCCTTGTAAAGAAGGTCACAATCCAGTGTTGAGAGTTATTTTTTACATACATGAGTACTCTCACAGATGGGCAAACATGGTACTCTAGGTTACTTGGAAAGGATGGGACCAAATCCATCTGGAGAAGCTTCTTAAAGGTTGTTAGAAGGATCTGAGTTGGACCTTGGTGTCAAGCAGTAGGACTTTGCCAAGCAGAGAGATGTGGTTGAAAATTCTATCCTTTTGCATTAAGCCTGTTTAAGTTATAGTCACGAGGCACTGCACTGATGCAGTCCCTGGAATTGGGAAAAAAATTGGTGGGAATCTTGTAGACTGATCAAACTTTGCCAAGACTAAAGAAAGAAACTCTCTTTTCTCTTTGGTAGGAAGAGAAACTCTCTTTTATCTTTCATACTTTTCATTTGGTAGGAAGGGGAGTTGAGAATTCAGTCACAAGCCTCCCATAACTTTGTAATTGTTGGGTTGGGAGCTGCCATTTTGCTCCTTGGAGAACAAAGCATCCCTCAAACTAAGGATTCTCAGATTATAGCACTATCCAAGTGATTTCAAAATATTTGAAAAGATATTTAAAAATTAAATAGATGATGTAGCTATTTTCTGTAGTAAGGCAAAATACCCAGATATTTATAGGATTTAAATATGAAAAGTTGGTAGAAAGGTAAAAAGCATTGTGACAAAAACTATAAGATTGAAATTCAGTCCCTGCTAGGGAGGAACAGCTGCTTCTCTGACAGACTGAGAAGCAACTCATGGCCCTTCCAACTGCCACTCCCACACCTTTCCCCCACCAACAGGGGAGCAGAAGAGAACCGAGCTCAAAAGTCACTTAGAGGTTGATCTTACAGGAGACCCAAATATTCAAAACTGCAGTCAGTCAAAGCCTGTGGTCTGATTGTAGATGACTGACTAACTGGGCTTAATTTAACACCTTGACCTTGATGAGGCCCTTTGGCTCTCTGTGTACACTAGTCAGTATCTAGTATACCTAGATACTCCATGTTGCTGGTCTTAAACCTCCAGTAGCTTGGATGTCTGAAGCTTTTGGTTTTTGAAAGCTCTTGTGTGTTCCATCTGAGAGGCATTGGAAATGCCCATGTCTTCTGGAGGGGGTGGGCTTACTCTGTTTGACACTGTGTTTGCTGCAGTGTTCCTTAGTTTTAGTTGTGGTTGCAGCCTAGCATGGCAAGGTTGCCAGTTTTATTTTATTATTTACTTATTTTTCTTTTGCACTGCTCCAGTCTTTCCAGAGGAGATCTCCACCCACACCAGGCTGATAGTTGGTTTTTCAGTGAGAGTAGATCACACTCTCCTCTGGGAATGTAGGAAGTAGAGCAACCTTAGGCTCTCTCAAAACCAGTCAGGCATTTGCAGGTAACCAACGCCTGTTGCCAGACAATTAAGAGAAAAGGGCCTCACAGTATAATGAGCTGAAGTTGCAGCTTTGACCTTTTAACTAGAATCACTGTAGCATCCCGTCCTTCCTTAACAGGGTGCTTTCCTAAAAGCTAACCTATCACAGACATGACAGATTCAGGGCACAGCTTCCCTGGCCTCTCCAGCAGGTCCCCAGCTATAGGACCCCACTGTGTGCCCATTAATGTACTGGAGCTCAACGGCACCTGAAGACTCACAAATGTGCCCACAGTCAGAGTGCAGTCCCTGGAACTGAGAGTGGCAGACCGGGAAGAGGGAATCCTTGACAACAGCCATTTCTTCTAAGAGGCATCTTCCTACTTGTCTGGCACGAGAGCATTCTGTTTTGTTATGGAGTCATAACAGTTCTCTGAAACACCTTACTTGTTGACATTAGGAATCAGTGTTTATGAAAAAACAGAAATCTTAAAATAGATTATTTCAAGATTTTATAGCTCTAAATTAACATGATTTTGGTCAACATAGAAACATACTAATTCTGAGACATTCTTGCTCCAGAGATCTTTTGAATAGAAACATTCAAAATGGTACTTTCTTGTTTATGTATGAGAATCAGATATAGATCAAATCAAACAATAATCAGCCATTTAGAAGACTGTAGTATGATGCTACTCTACCTCAGGTTTTTCATTTAGATTAGGATGCTACCATCTTCAGGAGGTATATTGGACTGCGAGGGCCACCGTGACCAAGTACCAAGGACTAGGTGGCTTAAACAGTGGGAGTTCCCTCCCCCCCCATGCTGGCAGCTCTAAGTATGGAACCAGAGTGTCAGCAAGACTGGTTTCCACTGACACCTCTCCGTGACTTGCAGATTGCCGACTTCTCAGTGTGTCTTTACGTCATTTTCGCTCTGTACTTGCGTGTGTCCTAACCTCTTCTTACAGGGACACCAGTCACATTGGATAAGACCCCACCCTTGTGACATCATTTTAATTTAATTGCCTCTTTAAAGGCCCTGTCTTCAAATACAGTTTCATTCTGAGGGGACTAGGACTTCAACATATGCATGGGGCAGCGGGGAAGACAACTCAGCCCGTAACAGGAAGTGTCAGCAAGAAAGATGTATTTGCAAAGCACAGAAATTTATTGAAACATATTACATGCCAGGTCATGGGATAAATTTTATTCTATTTTTTTTCATGTATTTCTTACAACACTCCTAAAAAGTTAGAATCTTTATTTTTCAAATGAGAAAATTCAGACTCAAAAATTGAGTAGTTTCCCCAAAGCTACAGAAAACAAATTGTTGAAACCAAGTCTGTACTCTGTCCCCAGGAAGTGCTCACGCCACCGTCATGTTCTTGTGCTGTTATCCAAGGTCACAGAGCAGGCTGATAGCGGATCAGGCCTCTTCATTCCCAGTGAAGCTTTCTGTTGCCCTGATATGTAAATAATATTCAATAAATGTAGTTTCACTGCTCTGCTTATTAAAAACAAGGATGTTGTTTTGTCTTGTGTTAGTTGGGCTATTTTGTTTTTCAGGGGATGGAAAATACTGAACAGCATGAGATTTTAAAAACCATCACTGCTTTGCTTGTTAATTAACCAGGCTACAGAAAAGACACATACAGGTGTGGATTACTGACCATCCCAGTTTGCCTGGAACTAGGGACTTTCCTAGGCTATGAGGGTTTTTGTGTTAAACCTGAAACAATCTCATTTTTAGAAATAGAAACCATTTTAGAAGCAGAAAATATAGGAAATAGTCTTAATAACCACAGAGTCCGGTCCTATGGAGAACCGGGTTATCACTTCAGATACAATAGCTAGAGGCTCCAGAGATTGAGCATGCAATGGACAATGGCCAGACCATTTATAAATAGTAGATCTTTGACCCACAACCTGCAGCCACCTGCCCAGGAACCAACCGCTTGTCTGTAGCAAGCAATCCAGGAAGCCCATCTGCTCTAAGTGTCACACGTGAGAAACCAGATTGCTGTGTCTGGTGCCAACCTGGGAGGCTCAACAGTAACTTCTATAACAGCCCCAAATGCCCAGAGTTTGATGAATAATGGACAACATCCCTCTTTTTATCCAGTCAGAGATAGCCAAACATACACCTCAACCAATCACAGGATGTCCTACTTCTAGCTAGCCCACCTGCAGTTTCCCCTTGCCAGCAGCCTCCCATCAGGGTGCCTGAAGCCTTCCCTTTCGTCCACTGTGAAGCTTTCCCACTCCTCTGCCTGCTTTGAGTCTTTGTCAAAATGTAGATAATAGTGGCAGAGCCCCCTTGCTATAGCAAGCTCAGAATAAACAGCCTTTGTTCGCTCTATTTGATTTTCTCCACACACCGTCAACAGGACCCCTCAATCATGCTCTGCTCTAGCAGTCCACTATTTTGAAAACTCAGCACTGTGCCTCCACTGCTTTACCTCCCTGCTGCCACTGAAAACAGCCTCTGTCACTCTTCAGGTCTGTTAACGTCTGCATCCTGTAGTTCTCTTCTTTTCCACCAGCTGCATCTCTCTTTGAGTTAAATTCCCTGAGAGACAACATCTGACTGTAATATGCACTGAGTACCTAGGGAGCATCCTTATTATGTATTCTTAAGGCTCCAGCCAACTCTAAATCTGCTGACCCAGACTATAGATGACTGCCTTTGGCTCAATGACCTGACTTTGGCCAGTTAGCTGTGCTCATGGTAACACCATTACGTGGTACAGTGCATGTAACTTACACATAAAGAATCATTTCACTCAAAAGGATCCCTTGTTATGGCTGCACTTAGAGTGTACATTTATACAACTGATCAATAGTGCCTTGCCTATGAAGCATTTTAATGAATGAGTTTATAAATTGTTATTCATTTATAGTTCTATAAACTACTTTCTACTAAAAAATTTTTTGAAACGAAGCATGGTTACTTTTGAGCCCATTTTTTAAATAAAGTTCTTCAAAGATATATTGGTTAATTTTGAATTACTTGTATTCACTCACTCATCACTTATTTCTCATATTTACTGAGAATCTTCCATCTTTCAGGCACTGTAGAAGTCTGATTTTCAAAGCAAAACTCTTATGCTTAAAACACCAAATTACTGTAGATGCATCAGTAGATGAATACTCAGAGAAAGGTAATTTCAATATCAAAAGATCATTGTGCTTAGCAGCAGTTTTAGGATCTAAACTTCATTGTCTATGGAGATAAGAACTTCTAGTCTGCAGCACATGATTAACCCAGATGACTAGAAAAATCAGTTGTAGAGGTAAAGGAAAGTCACTAGGTTCTGTCTTACTCTCACCAAATCCCTTAAAAGTCATCCAGTTCTCTTAATTTTTGGCTCTATATTTGAAACAAATAGCACACAGCATCCTCAGCCACACTTTGCATCCCTCATCCCATCCTCACTGTTACCAAGTTAGGAAAATTTACTTAATCTCTTAGTTCATCCAAGGCAAGGGTAGTCTTTGACTCCAGCAGAGAAATGGCTGACACAGAAAGGATAGATTTCTTTTACTAATTTTACTACACCTTATCACTCATATCTTGCCCAGATACCCCACCTTGGTTCCTTGTTATTGATCCTACTTTGTGTTTGCTAGAATAAATTTAACAGATTTGGAGGAGGATTGTTAAAAATATGGTAACAGTCTCACCCAAAGTAGATTCAAAAGTCATCTCCAGGTCTAGGTTCCGGGCTGCTCAGTCACGGTGTCCTCAGTTCTGCTCCCTCCCTGGTCCCTGAGGAGAAGGACATTTCTCAGTGTCTGTGTGTCCTCAGGCTTTCTGTTGTGATCCACCACCACTTCACTAACTCCATTCCTGGGAGGCTCTATGACCATGGGGTCCTACATGTTCTTCCGCAAGCCGTCATCCAACTCTCTCCAACTTGTATGATTTACTTGACACATGTTCACTAGTGAGATACTAAGGCTCATTTCAACCTGAAAATTAGCTGAACTTCCTGACCTACTACTCCGAGTTAGCAGCGGGTCCTAATTTTATCACTGCTTATCTGTCTCTGATATCAGACCCCATCTTTCCCCATCAAATCTCCATCAGTTACTTTTAACTACAAGAAATAGAATCTCTGTCTTTTGTTTGGGGAACTATACATTCTCACTTATCAGGGTCTCCCATGAAGTTTCTATTTCCTCTTTGAAAGAGACCTTTAAATCTTAGCTCATCTTCAGAACAGAGATTCTCCCGAGTAACCAACCTCATGTAAACAGCTCCACACACTGCCCCGGATTCTACCAGGTGACTCACCCCTGAGGAAACTGAGGTGTCATTTTCTGGAATCTTATACCCTGAACTGTTTTACAGCAGCAAAACTATTCTACACTGACTATAAATGCAACACATACGGTTTCCATCAAGGGAAAAGAAGAGTTAGTAACTGACAAATCTGATATGTCAATTATCCCTAAGATTAATACTGGGAAGAGCCCACAGTCTCTATTTTAAAAGTGGTCCTTTTGGTCCACAAAACACATAAGTGCTGCCTCCTTATTGTATTATAAAAATTCTTGACTGCATGTAAACCATAGCTCTGAGAACTTAAATAATTAAAATCTTCATACCATGATTCAGAGAAAGTAGTAAGTTCTTTTGGAATAGATTACATCTCTGGCGCACATTGTTGGCATCCTTGAAACACTGCGCTTCAGTTGAAGTGTACAGAGCTTTAATTCACCCATAAGCATACTCTATACTTCTAAGGTTTGTTTTCTGATGGAAAATTTATTTCCATAGTTTCATATGTTTTTGCAATTATTTTAATCAAAGAACATTCTGTATTATAAAATTATCTTCTTAAGAAAGATTAGAGGATCCATATTATGATGAGTCAACACAGCCATTTGGCCAGTCAGAAATGATTCTGTGTCCATCAGTGTCAGCTGTGATAATGATTCATGTCAAATGACTGCCAGGAGCATTTGTGCAGCACTCTATTAATCAAAGGAAATGTGTGGAATTCAAATGGTTGGGGAATACTTTCTAGTGATAAATTGCATGAATAGTTCTCTTATTTTTACTTCAATATATAAATAAGACCTTCTGGGCAATACCATCCGAGCAATCTCAGGCAGGGAGAAATAGTGAAGTTTTTAGGAGGCAGAAGCTGTGAGACACCTGGAAATGGGGAGCAGAAAGAAATGGCATGAGCTTGGGAGATTGAAGAGGAGAGACAGAGAGGCAGATAGACAATGAGTGCTCAAGAAACAGCAATCGGGCCGGTATGCTGGGAGCAAGAGTGTTCCAGAACAAGGATGATGGTTACATAGGATTGATGTCTTGTGGAAAGTTTCTGGAGGTCCAGAAATGCCAAAATTTAGAGATTTAGATTTTCCTCTTTAGGCCAATGCTTTTTAATCTTTTCTTCCATCCATCCCTCCCTACTTCAATCTCTTTTCTTTTTCTTATTTTCTTTCAAATATCAGAGCAGAGCCCTGAAGAAATAAAATTAAATTTTGCATGGCTGACTAGTATTGAAAACAGATGAAATCAGAAAAACTTCTTCAAAACGTGCACTGTGGGAAGGGACCCTGGGACGTATCACAAGATTTCCCCCTGGAGATGGCTCTGAGGCCCCTCTGTGGTGCTCCTTAGGATTCCTTGAAATACAGATACAAATGGTAACTTTAAGTAATGAGGAGTCATTAATGGATTTTTGAACTGAGAAAGCGAGCATTCTGTGAGCCTTCAGAAAGTTATTTACTCTCTCTGGAGCTCATTTTCTCCTTTGTAACAGGCAGATAATATATTCCAGAGAGGTTGTAACCATTAGAAACAATGTAGTTGGCATAGTGCCTGGTGTGTAGGTATTCAGATAAATATAATTGTAAAGTTAATGATCATGATGATGATAATGGAAGCAGAGGGTGTCTCCAGGCACCAAGTTCCAAATTCCCCAACTCATAATGAAATCTGTGTTTGCTTTTGGTTTCTTGGTTGACTCTACCACGAGCTTTGGAAGACCCCTTACACTGTAACCACCATGAGGAGATCCCGTCTGTGCAGCTCTTGCTGACCCTGGATATATAGGGAATATAGGTCTTTCTGAGGCTCTCCTGAGCCGTGAGTGGCCCTGAGCGTGAAGCAGACTCTCTGCAGTGGCTCTGGGCCCCCTGCCATGCCTTCGCTCAGATGGGCCACTCTGGTATGAACCTGGTACACCCAAGGGTGAAGCAGGGAGCTCTCTCTTCCCCACACTCAGCATGGCTCATCTCTTACGTATTTCCTGTTTCAGATGGATACCTGCAACCAGACCTCTCTGCTCCCCCTCCGGAGCTCTGGGAAGGGCAGCTGCCTGCATTCCTTTCCCTTAAGACCCCCCAGTGTCATCGGATGGGTAAAATGCACTGAGAGTGTGTCATAGCTATGTGCGTATTATCTGTGGATCTTCCTTTTATGAAAAGGTGAATTCACTTTGCCACTTGTTTGTTTATCATTGATAACAAAC